ATATATATATATATATGTTTATGACATGACGCGAAATGATGTTTATTAAAGATCGTATTGCGATATTTATGTAAATTGTAGTTCATAATTACCAATTATTCCAATTAAAATTTAGCCTGTTTATGATTTTGATATACTTGTATATCAAATAAACAATTTAATCTTTTCAATTTAATCTTTTAACAACAAATATCATGTAATAAATTAAATGGCATAATTCAATATATTCTTGCAAACAGTTGGAAATATTATAAATTTTTTATACTATTTACTACTATTTATACCATTTCAAATATTGCTCTTCTATTTCTATTTCTAGGTTTTAATGTTGTATGTTCGATAAATTAATTTTTGTAACAAGTAAATAAATCTACAAGTAATATTTTTCTTCCTTTTTCGATATATTATTCCAGATGCTCTCAGGTGATTTATTTTCAATTTTCTATATGTAAGAATAAACAAGTATAATGACATCAAGTACAATGATATCAAGAAGATGAATGCGTTCAATTGTAACTCGTATTCATTAAATGTATCCTGCATTTTTTTCTAATTGTAAGCTTTGCGCATTCAAATATATACAATTTTATTTAATCATGCAATCATACACAATCGTGTCGTACCTTACTGTGTTACGTTCTTTAATTTTTTACATATTATATATACGTTCTATTGACATCAAATTAATGTAGTTAAACTGATACAATCAAATCCTTAGTCATGAGAGAATTTAATTTAATATTAAATTATGATAAGGATATATAATAATATTGACGAGACAAATAATTTATTTTTATGGAAAAAATGAAATAATTTAAAACGCGAATTGAAAAGAATAATAATTGAAACGGAAATGTAATTGAATGTAATTGAAAAATTAAACGTTGTATAATGAACTGAAAAAAAATTGTAAGAAAAAAAAAATTGATATCGATCTGCCTTGACTTTCTTATTTTCTTACAAAGTTGCAAATAAATTTTAAAAACTCATATGTATCTATATGTATAAACGTTGACATTCCTTATAGAAAAACACGCATGATATATGATAGGACATATGCGCTTTACTTCATATCATAATATGAATATATAAAAGATCTGTCCAGAATTATCCATGATGAAATGTACGAAAGTTATTTTAGAAAATTTGTGTGATTAAATTTTAGTTTCTTCTTAAACATTTTCAACGCCTTGCTATATTTATTCCATAATATCTATATTTCACAAGTTGCAATATAATAGCAAACCAGTCGATTGCTTCGTAAGCAAATGAACAGAACGAAATTAGATTGCCTTTGTCAAAATATTTGCGCGTTTGAATCACTGCATGCTTAATCTACATTTGATACAAATACTTGGAGTCAGCAAATACAAAGCTAATTAATTATTACAATTTGAAAGGCATGCACACGCGTGCGACACACACACACACACACACACACACACACACACACACACACACACGCAGGATGTCTCTTATATATAAACAATTTCTCTTAGCTCTTTGTATAATTTTGTTTTTAGGATGTCTATTCAGCGAGGACATATGTGACCCTCAGACGGAAAAGTGCTTTGACGGTAATAATTTTGTATCTTTCTCTTTAATTAATAATTGATAATAAAATGAAAATTGCTTAATGTCTTTTATTTTATATACATAATAAGAAAATATAGAAATAAATAAACCATTAAAAATAAATTTTCATATGATATTTTAAGTTTAATCAGAGTTTAATTATGTTAATTATGTTAATTATGTTAATGTTAAAACTGTTAGTAGAATTGAATATAACAATCTTTTTGTACAATATTTATCTCAGTTAAGTTTGCTTGAAAGATTTTGCACAATATCAGATTGTAACAAATCTTGTCAGCAAATAAGTTACAAATTTGATGCAGAATCTGTACTGGCAGTGGCGACAGAATGTTACAAGAAATATAATAGAATTTGTTTATATAACAATAAATTAGTGGGACGGCAGAAATGCACAATTGCAAGCAGTTTGCACATAGTTTAACACAGATTGACAGTAGATTCGAGATCGAGCAGAATCTGCATTCGACAAGTTCTACTCAATTTACTGCTAAGCTGCTGTTATATCAAGGCTTTGCCGGCAAAACGAATTTAATACAACAGATACAGATAATACTGAATCTGTTAAATTTTTCTGATCAAATTTGCTGCCAATCGGCATTTTGTGAACAATTTTGCTTTCTGGACATTTTTTATTAACATTATTTTTTTCAGATCTGGCATTCGGAAAATGTATACCTCGGTACACGAATTTAGAGAATGAGAATTTATATCAGTAAGTTAACGAGTTAAAAATCATGTCCTTAAAATTATGATTTATTTATAACATTCTGCATGAATTATTCGCACTGAAATGTCTACATCTCAAATGTCAACTCGAGATATATAGAAACGCAATGTATGTATATGGACCAAGCGGAATTGAATTCTTTTTCCGATCGATTAATTTTACATTGGATCGTCAAACGGTCTCGCTACTTCGTCTTTATCGTCTTTATTATCGTACACCTACGTTTTAGTGCGATCAACACATAAAATAGCATAATCAACGCGTTATTGCGGTGTAATACAAGTCTATTCTATATCCCGCAGATATAATCTTGATATCGATGAACTGGAGCTGCTACACTCGATGAGATTACAATTGATGAAACTTATAGAATCTAACGGATACAACTGGAAACATCCATTTACTCAATGTATTGTGCAAACTTCGTTGCATAATCTCCGATATGGGTACATAACTTTGTTAAAATTTATAAGTCATAACGAACTTAAATTTATCAAAAGAGATTATATATGTATGCACTGATATGAGTTTTCACATTTTCAATATATATAGATTTTAGAGATGTGTCACCATTTTTCTCATCATGTAAAGTTTTTGCGATAAAATAAAAGAAAATTATACGCTGCTATGTGCTTGCTAAGTACTTAATTTTTTCAGGTTAAATTAAATGTGCATTTTTAATATTATATCACAGAAACTTTTAGACCAAAATACTATATGGAAAAATAATGACATATCTGATGTGACAAAAAAATTAATAAGTAACAATTATAAATTTGCAAAATCCGAAATTTATGTGTGTGTGTGTGTGTGTGTGTGTGTGTGTGTGTGTATAATTTATGAAATTATTAAATCATATATCGATGTATATCGATTAAAAATATTTAATAAAAAAGAATTTGGAAAAATTTTCAGACAAAATGATGCTCGTGATTTTCATCTCTGCGAATATTTAAAGAAGTCAAGTCTCGATGAACAAGATGGATTTATTGACGAAGTTAGTATAAATCATAAACGCGTTTACATGTACATTCTCAACTACATTGAAAAATATTTTTTTCTGATAAAGTAATCAATTACTGATAATGCTATAATTATTTTTTTTTTAAATATGTAACTGGTCGCAATATTATTCCGTATAATCAATCGATATTCTTTATAGATGATTCCAGCAGTCGCCATACTAAGAATCTCTACGGATAACGAAAACCCTGAGAGTAATTTAGCCGATGTTTTGTATCGTCCCACAGACATTGAGGACAGGTAGGACTTACCTTGTTTAAAAAAAGGTCGATTAAAAATAATACAAGCACATTCTAGAATTTATATGTTGTTATAAGCTATTCCAGATTTAAAAAGTTTTTAGTAATTATTTTATTAATTTTATATTATATTTGAAAATACAACCGGAGATTTAAATAAAAAACTAAATAATATACATGAATTATTGCATTTATTGTTAAAAATTAGTTACATATATTCAAATATATATTCAAATACAATGA